CCTGAATAACGAAAAGTTTGGGTTTTCCAGCTAGACTTCTACAAAGATCCCCTCTGAAGAATTTTGTTAATATTTTCAGGTCAATGGGTCCATTTGTTCCAAAAATTATTCCTTCTTCACCATGGCTTAGAATTACACAAATAAAGCTGCTCCTTTTGCTGTGATCTTCTTTAGAAACTAGAAAGATATTCATACATAAGAAAAAAGTCTTTGCAACTTAATCAACATCACAGATATACTGTGTAAGATGAAGAAATTGAAAAAAGAACTATAAGATCATCTAAACTTAATATGGGACAAAGCCACATACCTGAAATCATTTTAGGGTTTGACATAAATAAAATCTTTTACTTCTTAACAAAATATGTAAGATCAGAATTACATGCAGTATAATTTCAAAATTCTCTTATTTTATTATACGTAAGATTATAGACTGCAAGATTATAGCTTGTAATATAAAATTGGTCAATGAAGGTCATTCTTTTAATTACTTCTTACCATTGCACATCAATTCCACAATTTCTTCCCGTGTAAGATCATTTTTATTCCTCACTTCATATTTCAAGTTCATAAATGTTTCTCTGAGGTTTGCTGCATCTACATCTGTACCAGATCGAGCTGACATTCCTTGGAACAAAAACAAAAAGAACAAAAGAATTGTTTTTAACTGTGTTTTAAAAGAATAACAGCTTTGAGATAAAATGAATTATGCAGCAATTCACAAAATCAATTAATTCTTCCTTTTTAAACCGCAGGCTAATTATTTGATCATGGTGACACAAAGCCTCTCCAGTCTCTTAGCATATAAAACACTTCATACTTGTCCCAGTATGACATAGTTGTCCCAGTGTGATCACCACAGGGATATCTTTCACGGCTGCATAAATGTCAAAAAACCAGAAAATGACTTCAAATACCAAAGAGTAGGGGACTGGTTAAATAAATTATGATTCATTTGTGCAGTGGACTACTATGTTGTAAGTTTTTTTAGATAAAATTTTGCCATGGAAAAAAGTCATTGTTTAAAGAAAACCAATATGGTCCTACTTTTATTTAAGAAAATATTATATATACTCCCAGGGACTGTATTTCTTTGATTCTAAGTTCCCAATGATTTTAAGATGTATTACTACTTTCATGTCATTTAAGGAAAAACAAAAAACACCAAATACTACCATATTTTTTTTGGGGGGGTGGTTGGTAACGGGGATCGAATCTGGTCCTTGCGCTTGCGCAGCAGCAAATACTACCATATTAATACTGTTCATCAGGTATTGTACTGAAAGTAACCTCTTTTAATCCTTCTAACCATCTTGAGGTAGTAATTATTACTAGCTTCATTTGTACAGATTTGGGACCATGTAGCACAGACAGTGAAGAAACTTGTCCAGGACTAGAAGCATAGCTTAGTGTTAAGAGTGTGTGCTTAGCATAGGAGAGAGGCCCTGGATTCAATACCCAGCACATGAACGCATCTGTGCGTGCACGCGCGCGCGCGCGCACACACACACACACACAGAGAAACAAAAACAGAAAAAGAAAAGGAAAAATGAAAAGAAAAAAGAAATGAAAAGAAAAGGGAGAGGAAACGAAGTGACAAAGCTACATTAGGCCTGTAATAGGGGTCCTGGGCTTTTTAATCACTCCTTTATCGATCTCCAACATGAATGTAGACTGATTATATGATGCATCCAGCTTTTAGAAGTGTTGAAACACTGAGGGAAATAGACCTGAGATTGAGTAAATTTACTATGTGTGAAGACTAAATACAAAACATCTAAATATCAATACTTCTAAAACATTGTTGATTCACCTCTTTGGGAAGTGTGATTATGAATAATTTTCCATTTTTTTTGTTAATCTGTAGTGCCTGAAATTTCTATTAGACATATAAAATTATAATAAACCCATCAAAGTTTTGACATTGAAAAGCTGAGGTCACCATGCAGCTGTGTGATGAGGTGATTGATTTCTGATGCTGGCTTGTGAGCCACTTTGCAGAATGGAAAATACTGCCACATCTTCACATTTCAAACCAGAAAAAGAGCTCACTCTAAGGCAAAAGCTAGATGGGTGGCCTAAGTATTTATATGGGGGGGGTCTTGAACTCATTATATATGCTAGGCTGGCCTTGAATTCAAAACATTCCTCCTGCCCCAGCCTTCTGAGTGCTGGGATTACAGGCCTGCACCAAGCCCAGAAAATTTTTAAAAATTCATAAAGCAAAAAGAACAAAGTATTTTGTTCTTTTATTTAATGGTTGAAGTTGGTAACTTGAGTTCCATCCAAAAGCAACAAAATGGTGCTATTCAAATTTAGAAATTCATTTTCAATTATTCTCTACATATTTTTTTAACTAATCTAATTCCAAATCCTGCTTCTATTCCAGTAAAGTGTAGCTTCCTTCGATTCTTGCTACCACTCTTGTCTCTTAAACTGAGTGTATCTAGTTTTTATAATTAAAAATTAATTCTAATATGATTAATATACCAATTCAGAAAAAAGGGTTGAGGTTAATTTTTTATATAAGGATACCAGGTGTTCTAGTGCCGTTTGCTGAAGACACTATCTCTTCCTTGGCTCTTGAATCGAGTTTATATTCTATAAAATGCTAATGTTAAATAATCTTTCAAAACTC